GGAACTTGCACTACTGGATGCCATCAGCCCATCAGTTTAGGTGAGGGAACGTGATCTGCAAGTGCTCGCTTATCTGTTACAATGCAAAAGCGGCCAGGTTAGGTAAAACCTCCTTTATCAGCGGTGAAAAGCTCCCTTGGTTACCTCTTGGTGCTGAGGTGGTTTAGGGAGCACTTGTCTGTCGTGTTCAGCTGGCTTCACTGGGGGTGTGTGGGGAAAAAATGTTCCCTTTGCAGCAGGTCCCCTGTGTTGATTGCTGCTGGGTTTTATCCAGTGATGAAACCAAGCCCCCAGCTTGGTTGACTTCTGTTTCTGGCTTACCCGGCCCCCTCTCCACCCTGCCCCTGGAGCTCATCTGTGCTGTTTCAGCTGTGGATTTTGCCTTAGGATTGCTTTCAAGGTCCTGTTGCTCTGGGCAGCAGAAGCTGGCAGTGACATTGAGGCTGTGGGGTTATCGCTGAAGAAAAGGATTGAGTCCTGTACCTCCAGCTCTCCCTCTAACCCCTCTTCCACCCCAAGCTCTAAGGGGATGGGAAGTGCCCAACAGGCCATAAAGACCAGGGTTGTTGCTGATGCTCCCTAGCCTGCATCAGCTCCTCACCCCCTCCAGGGAAAAAGCTTGTCTTGGCTTTTCTGGCTCTGCTGGTGGGTGAGCGCTCAGCTCAGCGAGGGCAGGCGGTGGCTGCTGCAGGGGGAGGTGGCCGGGCCCTGAAAGGGTTTAGCAGGCCACAGAGAAGGAGAACTTGGGCTCTGCCTGCCCTGCAGCTCTCCTGAGGGATGCTTCTGCTTCAGCTCCTTGAGGGCATGTTGTTCACCACGGGCGTAGGCAAAACACCGCTCTGCAAAATAACTTTCTATGAACCTCCAGGAGAACAAAAATACAGATCTGACCTGAAGTGACGACCCCGTGCTTGCTCAGACCAGGATTTTAGGACAAGTTTCTCTCCCCTGCTTCACAGCTGTGGGTGTTCTCCTGCATTGTCTCTGATACCTGATGCCCTGCAGCTGTGGGAACAGCTGTAAGAGGGCCCTGGCCTCCAACATGCAGGAGACTGTGGAGGAGCTTGGAGCAGGGGAAGGGCCTGCTGACTAGCTGTGGCCTGATTAAAGGCAAGGGGCAGCAGCGGCACGGAGGCTCCCTGTGGTGAAGTAGCTGGGATGGGGCTGTGTGATTCTGTGGCACCTCATTTTGTTTGCTGTTTGGTCATGGCCAGGGGCTGTAGATGCTACAGCAATAATAACCTTATCTGCAGCAGGGTGCAGGGCTGAGAATTGGGAGAGGTCAGGCAGGGCATCTGCTTTACTGCAGAGCTGCTGCTTTTCCTGCCTGGCTCTCCTGTTCCCCCGTCTCGCTGCAGAGCTGCAAGTGTGTAATGATACTTGTGAAGTGTTGTGAGAAGGTGGGCCTCTGGCTGGGATGTGAATCAAGTAGACTACAAAGTGATGCCCTACATGTTGGGGGTGGCATGTGAATGAGCCTTAGGAGAAAATGGAGGAGACTGGGTTCCCCAGTTGAATGAAGTGTGATGGTCTGTGGGGAAAAAACTGGCCGAAGAGGGAGAGACTGGGCTGGCTGGTGGGGAAAAGGTGCTGAACAGGGTTGCACTGATGGAGCTGGATCATGGGGTAAGGACTGTGCAGTTGTCCTGAAGTGCTGGGGGCAGAGCCGTGTAGGTGTCAAAAGCTGACAAAGAGGGGAATGCAGGTTTAACCCATTGGATTGCCTGAATGGCAACTGGCATGTGGAGGGAGAGAAGACAGGACGGGGATGGGCTAAGGCAGAGAAGAGGGCTTCATACAGCCTCTGAACTACCCACCCAGCACTCATGTTCTGTCTGTACTTTTGGGTTGCCTCCTGCCTGGTAGCTCGTCTAGGAGAAGCCCTCTTGCAGCTTCTCCCTGGCTGGTGGTGTGTGTCTGCTGAGCAGCAAGTGACATCTAGTGTCAGCTCAGGAAGCAGTAACCGTGGCTTGGGCTGGCTCCAGCTCTTCTTCCCATCCCAGGTTCTGTGACAGCAGTTTTTTGGTGCATGCAATGGGTGCAGCTGCAGTGCCCTGCTCTGAGGGAGGTGGGAAGCCCCTTGCCCCTTCTTCTGTTGGGCTTAACACCTTGAGCCAGGTCCCTCCACACCCCCATGCAGCATTGCTCTGTCACAGGTCCCTTGCTGCAGAGATGACAAACGTTTCCCTTTTGAGACTCTCTTCTCTCTGAGTGTTCTAGCAGAGTGATAAAACAAAAGGCATGGAGCTACTGGTGGGAGAGATGGGTGTAGGGGTGAGGCTGGGTACAAAGCCAGGCATGCAGGGGTAGGAGGTGACCTGGCTTCCCACCCCAATGAACGCAGTCACTCCTCAGTTTCACCTACACAAGTGTCTCTGGAGGCTGTGTGCCATGAGTGTTGCCCACAGGAGGTCACTGGAGAGCAAGCTGAGCCCGTGTCCCTGTCCCAGGTCTGCCTGTGGGGGACCCAGGCTTCCTTCTTTGTCCTTGGGAGTGTGGGTGGAGGGTGAGCAGTGGCCTTTCCTCTGCCCTCTTCCCCCATCTTGTCCTTTGGGGAAGAGCTGGACCTGGAGGCCAGGCCCCTGGCAGTCTGGAGCATGCACTTCCTTCATCTCTGGTGACTTTTTTTTTTGCCATCCTTCAGGATGATCCAGCGGCACCAGCTGGTGCAGTCTGTGCTGCAGGAGCTGCAGGAAGCCACTGAATGCTTTGGTCTGGAGGGCCTCACCAGTGCTGCACTGGAGGCAGAGAGGACCCTGTCATCTTTCTCCCTGCCTGGCTATTGTGGGAGGCAGTTCCAAGAGGAGCTGGAGGTTGACCGGGTAGCCAGAAGCCTCTATCCTGAGGATGCCCCAAGTAACATGCTGCCTCTGGTTTGTAAAGGTGAGGGGAACCGCCTCTTTGAGGCTGCCAGCGTGCTGCTCTGGGGCAACCCCAGCCTCAGCCTGGAGCTGCAGGTGCGTACGGTGGTGGAGATGCTGCTGCACAAGCAATACTACTTGAATGGCATGATTGACTCCAAGGTGATGCTGCAGGCTGCCCGCTACTCCCTCTGCACTGAGGAGACCCCAGAGATGACCAGCCTTCCCATGGCTATCCTGGAGGCCATCTTTGATGCTGATATCAAAGCTACCTGTTTTCCTGGCACCTTTGCCAACATGTGGCATGTCTATGCTCTTGCCTCAGTACTGCAGTGTAACATCTACTCCATCTACCCCATGAGCAACTTGAAGATCCGGCCCTATTTCAACCGGCTCATCCGGCCCAGGAAGTGTGGCCCGCGAACCTCCACACTCCACATCATGTGGTCAGGGCAGCAGCTCTCCCGGCAGGTCTTCAAAGCGCAGTACTTTGTGGCCGTGGTTGGCCTGGAGGAGCTAGAACCCACAATGCCTTTGCCAGAGCCTCCTGTCCAGCCCATGAAGACCCTTGAGCTGCTGAACAGTGACCCCCAGCTGACCTACTCCAACCTACGTGACCGGTACAGCATTACCAAGAGCACCTTCTACCGCTGGAAGCGCCAGTCTCGTGAACACCGGCAGAAAGCAGCTGCCAGGTTTGCAGCTAAACACTTCCTTCAGTCCTGCTTTCAGGAGGGGAATATAATCCCCCTCCAGCACTTCCGACAAATGTTTCCAGAAATCTCCCGATCCACGTACTATGCCTGGAAGCATGAGATGCAGAGCATGGTCAATGGTGATGCCTCTGCTCTGGCTGAGGCCCACGGGTTGCAGGAGCTTCACAGGGATGTCCCAAAAAAGGCTGATGTGGATGAGCCAGCAAATTCAGGGGGGAGCTTAAGATCTCGGAGTCCTTCCCTAGACCCCATCCAAGCAGGAATCTTCATGCAAGGAGCCAAATCCTACCTGGAGAAATGCATTTCCATGAACACTCTGGTGCCTTACAGGTGCTTCAAGCGCAGCTTCCCTGGCATCTCCAGGTCCACTTACTACAACTGGCGAAGAAAAGCAATCAAGGAGAACCCCAACTTCAAACCCCCCCAGTCTCCCTTGGATAACCAGAAACCTCTAGCAATAGGAAAGCCGTTCTTGCAGTTGAAGCCAAGCAGCGTGCCTGTTAGGAAGAGGCTGAATGGAGACCGGCCAGCACCCAGGAGTCTCCTGCAGCTCAAGCCCTCTCTGTGCTGGAGAAAGCAGCTGCGAGATGTGGCCAGGAGGCAGGTCCAGCAATGGC